AACAGCTGTTTAAATAATAACCACAGAGAAAACTATTATCCTAAAGTGGCACAGCGGCTTGGAAAGTGGCAAGAACTTTTACTGTGAAAGATTTTCGCTACTACCAATCAGGAGGACAAATGTGCACACACACAGGATAAACTTGTACATTTGTACAAGTTTAACTGTATGCCAAGACAGGGAACATGTGGTCCAGTGCTTCTTGTTTTTTTCCTAGAATTTGTGTCCTGGATTTAGTTTTACCTCTTTTTATAGCTTGTCTATGAACATGCAGGTAGGTTTTCAGAAATGCGATAACGACATTTGCATATGATCTCTTGACAAATTCTACAGTGAAATAAACGCCTCGAAATAAATGGCTAAGGGCATATACTCCTGCACAGCTCCTTTCATTTCTGCATGGCTTCCACAGGATAACATGCCAGAGGATTGCATTTTGAGCTGTCATAGGTACTCATGTCTACAATTGTTCATGTTGCTATAAATCTTCAGATCAATTTCAAGCATTTAAGGCTGCAGTCAGTATATACTGACTTGGGGGAAAACCCTGTCGAGGTCAGCGGTATTTAATTCTGAGTAAACATATGTTACATCTCTTGTGCATCTGTTTTACACTGTAAGGTTTGCACAAAAGTTGTGAATGCAGGATACAATGCAGAGTAGCCAATGCAAGACTTAAAGTCATTTTATGATTTTGAAGCACAAAGGATTTAAGCCACACATGTGAAAGTATTCACAAAGTTTGATCTTGTGCCATTTGCTTGGAAGTAATCCTGCTTGGTTTTCGTGGGTTTTGAAAAAGTGTACATGGGATTGTAGCCTTAGTTCCCCCCACACACACACACATTTTTCTGATGCAGACTAGCATAGGGACTCTTCTAGAATCTAGAAAAGAGCAGAAACAAAATTAGTCCAACCTGCACTGTCTGCAGTATTCTAAACTTGTTGGTGACACATCTTTTCTTAAGGGAACAAACTCCAGATCAAAGCAGATCTCTTTAAATGCTTAACCTATCCTGTTGTACTCATAATCATCATCCAGTTGATTAAAGAATGCTAAGTAATTGAGGAAGAGCAGTGGGCAACCATGTGGAAAACTGTTAAGTATATGAAAGCGGTCGCGTATAAAGAAAATGTATATAAAATGTTCCATAGATGGCATTGGGCACCCGTTAAGTTGGCCAAATGTTACAGGGGGTATTCTGATAAATGCTGGAAATGTAAAAGCTGTAAAGGAACATTTTACCATATGTGGTGGGATTGTAACATGGCACAAAGATTCTGGAGAATGGTTAGAAAAGTACTCCAAGAAAGTTTAGGCATTAATGTAGCACTGAAACCAGGAATATACCTGCTTAATATGATTCCAAATGGCTACAATAAACAGGACGCATATCTAATTAGTTATATTATAACTGCAGCCAGATTGTTATTAGCACAAAACTGGAAATCGGAAAGCTTACCTACTAAAGCAGAGTTGGTAAATAAAATATTAGATCTAGCCAGAATGGATGATCTAAGTTTAAAGTTGCAAAATAAAAATGAGAGGGTACACAAAAGGAGATGGAATAAGATATATAAATGGATAGAACTTCAAACAGAAATGTAATTAGAAAAGATATTTCCTGTATTTGCAATAGTGAATGATATTTTACTTACAGATGAGGTTACTAACTGAAAATATCTGACTCTGATCTGTAAATAAGATGATGAACTGCGGATATGTATATCCTTTTATTTTAAACAATAAAAAAAATTTAAACCCAAAAAAAAAAAGAAAAAAAAAGAATGCTAAGTAGGTTTTTACCCCACACACAAAATTCTCCACCACTGGATGAAGATTCTAATGCTCATTAGTGATTATGATGGGGTTTGAGTGGACATTATGAGGGGGCCAGTGATTACTCTGAATTTAACACTATAATTTTGAACAAAAGTGTGATCTTGTGAATGTTGCATTATGTTATTGTTGTTCAGTCACACAGTCGAGTCCGACTCTTCGCGACCCCATGGACCAGATCACGCCAGGCCTTTCTGTCTTCCGCTGTCCTCTGAAGTTTGCTCAATTTCATGTTCGTTGCATCTATGACACTGTCCAACCATCTCATCCTTTGCCGTCCCCATCTTCTTTGACCTTCAATCTTTCTCAGCGTCAGGGTCTTCTCCAGTGAGTGCTCCCTTCTCATTTGGTGGCCAAAGTATTTGAGCTCCAGTTTCATTATCTGGCCTTCCAGGGAACAGTCAGGGTTGATTTCTTTTAGGATTGACTGATTTGATCTTCTTGCAGTCCAAGGGACTCTCAAGAGTCTTCTCCAGCACCATAGTTCAAAAGAATCTATTCTTCGGCGCTCGGCCTTCCTTATAGTCCAACTCTCGCAGCCATACATGACTACTGAAAGACTATTGAAAGAGGTAGTCAATCTTTAAAGGTACAATTGTGGTCTTAGGGTACTGTCTCAGTGATGATCTGGTTCTTATAGATCCACATGGGTCAATGCAGGGGTAATTCATGAGGACAACCAGATGGATTTCACCTAGAGAACTTGATCTTTTCCCCAGCAATCTTAATTGCATTATACACTCAAATTATTCATGTAAGTACCTACTGGAGCTCACAAATATTTAGCCTGCTCTCTAATTCCATGGCCATGTAGTTAGGAAGTCAATGCCTGAGCATGTGCAACCCACATTCTCCCTATAACAATAACATAGGCCAAAGGTCTCAGATTCTTAGACTTCCTAGCAGGCACCTAGCAGGCTTGGCACCTTGAACATTCATTTGAGAACCCAAATACCATTACTATTAAGAGGGATTCAGCTCAGTTCTCTGCATGGTGCATGTTCAGTCAAGATCACTTGTTATACAGATTTGTCTTTCCTCTTCACCACAGATGCTAATTGGCAGGGAAGATGAAAATGACAGATGCAGGAAGCACTTTTGAAACATCTCTAATAAATGTCCACATGCTTTTTTCTGTGAAGTACCTAGATAGAAGAGACCTTCTGGCAATGGAGCCTACCACGCGGGTACTGAACATCTGTACTACACTTTTAAACTTTAATCACTCATAATTATAGCCAGGGCTCTAGTCGGGGGGGAGCTCTCAGGTACGGAGCTCCGGAAGAGAACCTCTAGGGGGCGGGGCGGTCACGTGGTGAAGCCCCGCCCCCTTCTTTACCCCGCCCTCTGCTTCGATCCTCATTCCGTTTGGGAATGAGGATGAAGCAGGAGGGTAAGTAGCCGGGCCTTCTGACACACTTCCGGTGATGTCAGGGGGTGTGGCCTTCTGTCACTTCCGGTGATGTCAGGGGGCGTGGCATATGCAAATAAGTTATGCTAATGAGTTATGCTAATGAGCTCCGGCAGCTCTTTTTCTACAACAAGACCCCTGATTATAGCAATAATATTTATAACTGTCTTGCGCTGCCTCTCCTTTCTCTGAAGGGATTATCACAGTAATTTTCACAGGATTCTCAGGCCTTTCGCTTGACTGCCGTTTCCTGGTTCTCCGGGAGCAGTTTTGACGATTTAACTGGAAATCCAGAAATGTGATGCGCGGGACGAACCGGCGCGGGGCTTGAGGCACGCCGGACAGGACAGGGGGCGCCCTGTTGCCTGGCGGCGGCCCTCCACTATGACGCTCGCGGGCGGTGACTGTGCTGCGCGAGGCGCCGCGGGGCAGGCCACTTCGGCCATGAGGCGGCAACAGCAGCGGCGTCGGCCGCGCCGGGGGTCGGGCCAGGGTCTCGGGGCGGAGCGGGGGTGGCGCGTCTCCCCGAGCGACCGAGGCGCGCCCAGCACCAACGAGGGCGGAAAGAAGGCGGCCGCCGCGTCCTGCCACAGCTTGTCCGGCGCCGAGTCCCAGCACGAGATGAGGCGGCTGAGGAGCCCCAGCCGCTTCTCCCCGCCGCCGCGCGGGTTCACCGACCCCTACAGCTCGGAGCCCGAGGCGGCGGGGGGCGAAGGCTGCTTGGAACGCCAGGCCCTGTCGCAAATGTACCGCGACGAAGCGCGAACGGTGGTTCCGCGCAAGGGCAAGAGCGGGACGAACTCGCAGCAACGCAGCAAAACCCACCGCGCCGCCTCCGCCCACCCGCGCCGCTTGGCCGCGTGGCCGCAGCACCACCCGGCCCCGGCGGGCGAAGGCTGCGCCACCCCTTGCACCACCTCCTGCACCACCCTGTATGGCGGGGAATTCCAAGCCCACCCGGAGCCCCCCAGCCGCTCCCCGGCGGGAAGGGGCACGCGCGTGGAGGAGCTGCTCCGGGATGACCAGTGGGCCAGCCCTGTGCCCAGGCCGGGCGAGTATGGCACCGATTTCCCCACCGACGCCAGCAAGCCGCCCTCCATCTGCCCCTCTTCCTTCTCCTTCTCCCAGCTGGACAAGCCCAACCTAAAGTTGCCCAAGAAGGAGCTCAAGCGAGGAAATTGGCAGGAGCCCTGCGAGAGCAGCCCCAGTATAACAGACCTCATGCACTCCTTGGCTAGACCCTATGAGGACGAGGAGACACAAGCATACCTCGGTCGTGACCCAAATGGCCAGCACCACCGCCACTACTACCACCATCACCATAAGTCCCGGAAAGGAGACACCCAGATCAACCACCAAGATTTCACTGACAAGAGATATGAGGACTTGATTCCTGAAAGAGACAAAAAAATTGCGGCTCTGATGTTGGCCAGGCACCAGGAAGAGGAAGACTTGAAGGACAAGCAGCTCCAGACCTCTGAGGCTTGGGAACAGATGAAGCGGAAAGAGAGGAAACACAAAGCACGGATGGAGAAGGAGAGACAGTACCAGCTGGCAGAAAGTCTAGAGCAGTGGCAACGGGAACGGGATCAAAGGAAAGCCAAGCTCAGATTGGAAGAACAACAGCTGTTGGCGGCCAGAGAGAAGGAAATGATGTTACGTGACAAAAAGTGGAAAAAAATGACCAAAGAGCAGGAGAGCAGGCGGAGGATAAAACTTGACAATAATAAACTTCAGGCTGACTATAAGAAACGTTGTCAGGAAAGGCAGCTCTGGGACAAAAGTTTAAATGAGAGGAATGCTAAGGAGCGCGCCTCTCATTTGTATAAGGAGCAGATGCTGCAGGCCCTGGAGAGGAGGCTGATGAAGGAAATGGAAAAGAAAAGGAAGAGAGCAGATATGAACAAATACAAAAAAGCCAGACACATGCACATGAAGGAACAGGTGGACGACAAAGTGAAAGCCGAGGAGCTCTACAAAAGGCTCTGTATTGAACAGAAGCTCCAGAGGTCTCAAGAAATCCTGGAGCAGCTGCTTGAAGAAAGAAACAGAGAATTAAAAGAAAAATCTTTCAAGGAAGAAGAACAAGGCTTGATAGCAAAGGTTAGAGCAAAAGAGACGGAGGAAGAAAAGAGAAGGCGCAAGGAGATGTTGCTGCAGATAGCCGAGATGAAGATCCAGCAAGCCAAAGAAATCGTGAACAGAAATACCCAAAACAGAGTACAACGTGCGAGAGAAATTAACTTTGTGAAAGAAAGAAACCATCACTGCCGCAAACAGAAGCTTGATGATGATGAGAAATGTCATCTGCGGGAAATTCAAGAAGCCATAAGAAGGAAAGATCAGAAAAGCAACCAGATTCTAAGGGACAAGGAGACAGCTATTGAGGAATCTCGGAGAATAGCCAAAGCATCCTATGACCTGAGAGAAAAAATGAGAGATCTGATAAATCGTGGTTCATTTGATCAGATGGCTTTTGATGCCCATCGCCATGCGAGTCTCCTGAAGGGTCTCTAGTAAAGTTTAAGAACACATTCCAGACTCTGTTGTGCAAGAAAAAAGATGGTTGTAGTGTGTTCATTTTGTAGAATTCTGCATTGCTGTAGACTAAAGTGGTTTCAGCCTTAATTACTGTTTGACTCATAAGTGTTTGTAAGGATTATGGTTTAAAGGAGCTGCGGTGGCTCAAGTGGTTTAGACGCTGAACTGCAGGCTGTGGAAGGTCAGTAGTTCAGCAGTTCAAGACCCGAGTGTGCCGCATGATGGAGTGAGCTCCCGTCTCTAGTTCCAGCTCCTGCCAACCTAGCAGTTTGAAAGCAAGAAATTGCAGTTAGATAAATAGGTACCACTTCAGTGGGAAGGTAACAGCGTTCCGTGCGCCTTGGTGTTTAGTCATGCCAGCCACATGACCACGGAAACGTCTTCGGACAGCGCTGGCTCCTCCGCTTTGAAACGGAGATGAGCACCGCAACCCTAGAGTCGGATTCGACTGGCTTTCGAGCAAGGGAACCTTTACCTTTTGTTATACACATACATGATTGCCTATGTAATACGACTCTGCATAGAAAATGTTGAACCTTAGCTACCTACTATGCTGTACAGCCAGTGGAATGTAGCTTTGCAGTCTTGAATATAACTTGTGGCTCAGTGATAGAGCATCTGCTTGGCATACAGAAGGTCCCAGGTTCAATCTCTGGCATCTCCAGTTTAAAGGATGAAGTAGTAGGTGATGTGTAAGAGAGCCACTGCTAGTCTAAACAGATAGTGCTGACCTTGGTGGGACTGATAATCTGATTCAGTATAAGGCAACTTTGTGTGTTGTCTTTTTGGTTTTTAAATAGATTTTACAATGAATGTCTGAAGTTTTTCAAGAATTAAGAGTACTGAAGGGTATATACAAACAAATTAGTGTTACAGATACTTCAAGCCTAAGGATGCAATAGTCAACCATATATGAAGACTAAAATTATATTTAAAGATATTCCAATAAATTATTTATAATATATATATATAAATTAGGCTTCTAGCCCACCTTCCTTTGTAAAACAGGGCTCAGGGCAGTATACAGAAATAAAAAACACATTCATAAATTTGCCAACAAAAACAATAAAAATACAATGAAAATTATCTAAATGAATACTGTTTTACAACTGAATAACTTAAGCAATCTTTTTCACACCTCGTCTATTCACAAATCTGATTTTTCTCAGGGGACTTTATGAGCAGCTGGTGTGCTGGATTATAGCAGTGGTTTGGCAAACATGAGTATCCTGTTTAAGCCTGTGGCAGTGTTGTCAATTTTAAGTTTAAAATGTACTGAAATGAGAAACATTTTATTAATGGAGTTACTAAGAACAAATAATGTATCATGGCTGCGGTCACACGCAACATTAGCCACGCAAGAGATATGGAAGACAAGCGGAGTTTCCGGTCGCGATCTCACCAGCACATCTGGGAAGCGTAGCGCTTCCGTGGCACAACTGAGGCTTCCTGCCGAAAAAGCGCAGCAAAAAACTAGTACCTTGGAGGTACTAGTTTCCAGAAACTGCGGGGCAAGGGCGGGCGTCTGATCGCGTTTCCGGTGGTATCCGGCGCCCGCCCATGTCCCCTTGCGGAAAAGGGTTTTTTTCCCCTCACGTCTCCGTGGATGCGCACACGCACCCAACGGAGCATGTGCATTCGTAGTGTACACAAAAAAAGAAAACCAGTTTGCCGCGCCGCGCGCTTCTTCATTGCGCGCAGGCGTGTGTTGTGATCGGCACCTCTCCCTTGCCATGGAACCTCCACAGTACCTCCACAGAACCTCCACAGTAGGTCTGATCGCTTTACTGCATGTTAGTTTGCCCCGGGGCAAACAGCCACACTTCTCTGCAGTTTCCTGCCCGTGTGACAGGGGCCCATATAAGGTATTTCAAAATAAAGATCAATACTTTTTCAAACTTCCTAAAGTAGGAATTGAGTTACTTGATGTTCATATAATGTTATGGGTTGATCTTTGGTTTATGGCAAACTTTATAAACACATTGAATTAGTATTTTCCCCTTCGCTCCCTATAATCAAACGCTTTGAAAAACTAGTGAGCATGTGGAGTGATACTTGGTTTGTTTGTTGATTGGAGAGAGTAAGATGAGGCAGCAGTTAGGAAAGTGATGTCTCTGATCACCTGACTCCCATTGGCTCAAAACTTTCCTTCACACATTCAAACTATGACTGAACATTTCAAAGCATTCTACAAAAGTTTATACTCACAAGTAGATAGTGTAATAAAAAGGGTTGTGTTACTTTCATTCCCTTTCCATTTCAGCTCTATCCTAAACATGAAGGGATTTATTTGGGCATACATTTCTTTTTATTTGAAATGTTAGCTACATGCATCTCTTTAAAATTGTTGACAATATTTAATAACTAAAATGTATCTCACAAACACCTGCCCATTTCATTCCTCACACTTCCGCCTAATAGGGGAAATAAGTTGCATGCCTTGGAAACGGTGTAAGTAAAAGTATCAGAAAGGTAGATTTGTTCAGTATTTGTCCATGTTAAGGGGTCAAAACAAAGAAATGGACAGATCAAAATGATTGGTTCAGAATAATATTTTACAGATAGTTTAGTACAAAAACTCTTGCCCAGAATCCGTACTAGAAGTTAAATCTATCTTTGTCCAGGTGAATTCATAAAAACTTTAGGTATTTCAGTTTATGATAATTAAAGATTGAGCTGATGTTAAGTTACTTGAACTCAATTTCATTTGATTTCCATAGCAATTCATAGGGTGCTTACAATCTTAGCCTGGCACTCTGACCATGAGCTTATTTATATCAAAGTAAGTCTTACTGATTTTACTTTAATCTAAGTGTTTGAATCATTGTAGTTTAATCACAGGTTGTATGTGAATTAAATAGAAGTTGTTTGGACTTTTCACCTAGATATTATAAAGTGAGGGGCTTATATTTATTTATTTATATTTATTTATTACTTTAACTTTTACCCCACCCTCCCCACCAAGGCGGGCTCAGGGCGGCTTCCACAATACTGATGAACAATATACATTTTACAAATGATAAAATACAAATCATTTAAAACACAGACACATCAATTTAAAACATAACTTCGATGGCGATAGAAATAAAGTGCAGTTTAAGGGCACATTTAGCGGTGCGGTGGCTCAAGTGGTTAAGACACTGAACTGCAGGCTGTGGAAGGTCAGTAGTTCAGCAGTTCGAGACCCGAGTGTGCCGCATGACGGAGTGAGCTCCCGTCTCTAGTTCCAGCTCCTGCCAACCTAGCAGTTTGAAAGCAAAAAATTGCAAGTAGAGTGGAAAGGTAACAGCGTTCCGTGCGCCTTGGTGTTTAGTCATGCCGGCCACATGACCATGGAAATGTCTTTGGACAGCGCTGGCTCTTCAGCTTTGAAACGGAGATGAGCACCGCAACCCTAGAGTCGGATTCGACTGGCTTTCGAGCAAGGGAACCTTTACCTTTACTTTAGCGGTGGCACCATGCTAGGTCATGCTGGGTTGGAGTTCACAAAGGGCGGTGCTGGTAAGACGCCGCTCCTAATGGAATGCCTGCCTAAAAAGCTCGTTTTCACGGCCCTGCAAAACTGTGAAAGGTCCTGCAGGGCCCTGATCTCGGCAGGAAGCTCGTTCCAATAGGACAGAACTGCGAATGAGAAAGCCCTGGTCCTAGTTGCCGTCAACCTGACTTCCTTTGTGTCAGGGAGGTCCAGGCGGTTTTGGGATCCTGATCGCAGTGCTCTCTGGGGAACATGCGGGGAAAGGCGGTCCCTCAGGTAGGCCGTTCCCTGACCATAAATGTATATATATATATCCCACAGGGGATTTCTGCAGGTGGAAGGGGGGAAGATTTTCCCAATTTCCCCCCTCCTGCTGCAGATCTATGGCTTCCCCAATCTGTTGATGGGATTCCCCTGTCACCCAGGACCAGCATTTGGGGGGACAACTTTGGAATGTTTGAGTGGGGCAAGAAATGAACCACATGAGCAGAAATATGAGCCATTTCAGCAAAGGTGCAAGCCTGAACTTGTGGAACACTCAATCAAGCACAATCAGAATCACTCCCCCTTTCCCTCCTGAACAGGTATCAGTGCTGATCAGATGTTGGGAGGAGAGAGAAAGGTCTCTGGGTCAGGGATAGCAGCAACCTCAGCCACCTTTTGTGCTTCTTACCATTCTGTGGCTTTGGCTGAGAACTGTATGCACACGTTTGGGCTCTGGAGATGCTAGATTTTGTGGGCAGGACAAGCACTGCCATGCATCAACCCTGGAGTCTAGGCAAGGGGATTTCCTTCCTGTGTAATGCACAGCAATGTGATACTTTCATGGGTAATACATCTATTTGCATGTGTAAACCACTCCTAGAGGGACTGGGATGTCTACTGCACTCTTCCCATTGGTATACATATGCTTATAATTTAAGGGAATTGGAATATATTCCATTCCTGTTTGGAAACACAGGCCTATAACCTAAGTAAATGTGTTCTAAATCAGGTTATTAACATACTTCTGTTTGGGGGATTCCCCCCCCCCCCCAGTTCTACTGTAAGTTCACATTACAGGATTTTTTTTTTAAGTGTGCCTTTGTCATTTTAGAATTTGCAGTTGCCTTCCCTGAGCTAGCTCTTCTCCACTTGTCAAGAAATCCTCACATTCGTATTATCATCCATTGGGTCTCTTTGTCATCCTGTGAAAAGTGGCCAACCAGTCCACAAAACCACATAGCCATCCTGTGTAAAAGAAGGGCAGAGAGAAGCAACTGATCCAAGAGGAGCAGCACTTGCTCCTGAGCAGCAGAGGTGCCCATATACCACTCCAGAGCCCTCGACACTGGCCACATGGCTCAGGATTGTAGCTTGTTGAAATATGTTCTAAGAGTGAGCTTTTTGGCTTGTGTGGCCTTTTCAAATTAAGGCTCTCATTTGCATGTAAATGCTATAACAACAGAAGTGAAAGGAACCAGATATCTTCCAGAATTACTTCGTCATCTTGACTTTTAGA